ACTTACCAGCATGACACCGCATGAGGCGGCCCATGGCGTCAAACCAGACCTCTCCACCCTGAAAGAGTGGGGCAGCCAAGTCTGGGTACACTACAGTGATGGAACGAAGCTCGATGCTTGTGCTCGTGCAGGCCGATGGATGGGTTTTGATGCAGAAAGTAAGGGCCATAGAATTTTCTAGCCAGACAAACGAACTGTCAGCGTGGAACAATCTGTCACTTTCATACCTCGAAACGGCTTGCCAGACACTGACAACGGTCAGACCCCCTTTAGGCTTGAGGGGGAGAATGGCCTCCATGATGGTAATCAAGCCCCTAAAGAGAGTCAGATTGTCGAGATCATGATCATGGATGACGCACCTCTCAATCCACCCAATCCCCAAGCACCCATTGATCCACCCAATCCCCAAAACAACCAACCTCCTGCTCAACCTCCTATTCAACCTCCAGTGTCCCCTCGCCGAAGCACCCGCCTTCGACAACCAGCCCAATACGTCCGCGACCTCCTACAAGGAAAAGGGTCAATATCAGGAAATGATAAAGAACCCACCTTGCCCAGAGGCATCCAACTGAACCTCGACAATCCTGAGGGGACAGATGAAGAAGAGAGGGACGACGAGGCCTTAAGGGACCTGGCCCAAAATGTGGCCATGGTGGCGCGCATGGCTGACCTCAATGATATTGAGCCGAGAACCGTCAAAGAGCAAAAAGACGTTCTGATTGGGACAAGTGGAGAGATGTGATCAGCGAGGAGCTAGAAAGACTGGACAAAGCCGGAACCTGGACTTACGTAGAGAAACCGAAGGGCGCAAACGTCGTAGGCAGCCGCTGGGTCTTTAAGGTAAGGTCAAGAAGACCGCGTCTGGATCTGTCGACAAATATAAAGCCAGGTTATTTGCCCAAGGTTTCAGTCAGGTGGAGGGAATTGATTACTTCGATACATACACAAAAATGGCTTCGCTCTGCATCATATTAGCAATGGCCGCGAGAAACGACTGGGAGGCTCACCAGATGGACGTCAAGAGCGCCTATTTAAATGGCGAACTTGACAACAACGAAGTCATATACATGCGCCAACCACCTAGGTACAGCGCCAGTGGTCAAGAATCCATGGTACTGCGTCTAAATAAGACGCTATATGGCCTCAAACAGGCCGGACGCCGATGGTATCAAACACTATGTGAAGGGCTTAAAAAGATAGGGTTAGCCCGTTGCAAAACAGACAACACTGTCTTTTACAGACGTGAAAAGGAAGGACTCACCATCATCGCTGTCCATGTGGACGATATGACGTTAGTCACCCCATCTATGACCGCCATGGAGTGCCTGAAAAATGACTTAGTGAAGCTGTTTGAAGTAAGCGACTTGGGTGAGCTCCATTGGATGCTAGGCATTGAGGTCAAAAGAGATAGGACCACGCATACCTTGTGCATGTCCCAACGCAGCTACATCGACACCGTGATTAAACGCTTCAACCTAGAAGACGCAAAAATGTTAGCGATTCCAATGGTGGCAAGCACATACCTGAGCAAGGACCAAAGCCCTAAAACGCCCGAGGACTACGCAGAAATGCGAGACGTCCCATATTGGGAAGTGGTTGGATCGTTGATGTACGCAGCAATTGGCACTCGCCCCGACATCGGCACGCTGTCATGCACCAAAGTTGATTGGTAGCATGGACAGGTGTCAATAACGAAGCGAATATTCAAAAAGACTCGCCTTTGCGCCACACAGGCACAGTGCCACGTGAAATAGTAATTAATATTGCCTGTTTCAAACTTGTGGCTGATCAGCACCACCTCTATTAGGCAATCCAGTCACGCTCACCTTTGCTTTTCCATTCGGTACTTTCCGTGTTTCGGCATTTCAGCAAATTTTCGCGTCGCCACTGGCTACACATTGTAACAACCCTGAGTTAGTTACTCTGGCGCACACAAGAACACACTATAAAGAAGATGTTGAGGGAGTGGTTACCCCTTAAGCTGCAGAGAGTTTGTTGGTATACAACAGGAGGACTCGCTGAGGAGTCTCCTGGATTTATTGGGGTATATATACTACTACAGGTTTGTTTGTACATGTGTACTATACAGTTGATGAAGGCAGTGGCTGATGATGTCATAGGGCCTAGCCCGTATGGCCAGCTCCACTGCGTGAGAGAGTTAAGTCTAAAAGTAAAAGAAAGGCAACGCGGTGCGAGAAAGGGAAATGCCGCGTGGCACTTAAAGTATAAAGTTAAAGCGGAGAATAAAAAGGAAAGGAGATGTCCGGAAATTGTGTTATTGTAACACACATTGCATTGCGCCCTCACTTTTGTCGTTTCCCTTACTCCCCTTCCTTTGCCTAGCCCCACTATGGGCCCCTTCCTCTCCTTTTTATTCTCACCTGATGGTCGTTTCTGGATCCCCATTCTAATCCACTTTTTTGTCACCTCCACCCTCCTCCTCCTCATCTTATTTGCACCCCCACCATTTCTGATGTCACCACTTCCTATCCGCTTCCGTCGCTGATCCGTTGACTACCACATGCCACTGCTGATATCAGCAAAGCCCCGGCGGCCAGTCCAAATAGGGCAATAGGTCCATCTTCATGATGTCGATCTGCCATCATATACTATCAAAACATCGGTCGCTCATCTTGCCTGGTTGGAGCGTGGGTGGGTAGTTTTTGAGCTGGAGAAGGTTCATCCCCTTGCATCACCCATGTTCATCGCTGTCCCATTCACTTGGGTACACTTATCTTTTGTCCATCGTCTTCGCTACAGCTACACCTACCACACGCTGCCTGGGACTCACTTGTTCCAAATTGGAACTACTCCTCTCCCTCCCTCATTTGATCAGGTGGTCCAACACAACCAGTCCATTGGTAAGGCCATGGAACTGTCGGATTTGGACTAGGTGGTGGACCGGTGGCTCCAGTTTCTTTTTCTTCAGCAGAACATTCATTTACAGTGCAATTATTTTTGATTTTTGAATCATTTTTATGGACACATATTTTTTTTGAATGCCTGACTGACAATAAAGGAACTGTGTTGATACTGATAGTGTTTTGCCTTGCCCTTTTTTTACTGTATCTTCCCATGACATCATGATTTTCCTGCTCTCTTTTTGCTATTGGACTTTACTTTATGGCTGTACAAACCTGTGACATTACTCACAGCATTCATTGTTCTATCTCTTTCTTTTCCTTTTTTTGACAATCTTATCCTGTACTACCTATGCAGGATTTGTCAGCATACATTCCTTCCTTCATGTTCTTTCTCATTATTTTTGCACAGCTATACTGTGCATAGCCTACTTTTTTTTCACTATATAAACCCCTGTATTTTACCTTGTAAAAGAACAAGAAATCCAATCCAGACTTCTTCTCTACTCTCAAGTTCACTACTCTGCTACTTGTGATCCAGTGTGGTCACAACACTTCCCACTTCTACCACTGTTAACTGCTGTCATCGTCACTCGTCACTTTTTGAAAGTGATTGTCATCCCTTTCGATTAGAGTCCTTCTGAGCACTACAGTTTGTGCGTCAGGAGCCTGCTATCACTGGGAACCTCGTCACCTCGTCATCCTCATCGTTCTCAAACCTACCTTGTGCTACGATTAGCAAGGTAGTGCTTGTCTATACTCGTCACAAAGCCCCTATCTTTCTATAAATTCAACTATCCCTCCTCCTCAAAACCCACACTCATACACCTTTGGGTTTTTTACTTTGAAGGATCTTTATACATACCACCCCACGAACAACCAGAGCACCCACTGTTCTAGGAGGCAAAGCCCATAAACAAGTTCCGTGGAATCTGGGAGGATTGTGTGTTAGTTAGTTTTTTTGTGTGTGGTTTTCTAACAACAGTTCTCATCATCGACAACGCCGTCGCAATACTATCTCGTTTCGTCAAAAACCCTGGAAGAGCACACTGGGAAGCTGTGAAACACGTCATTAAATACCTGAAAGGAACTTGTGAACTTCGGTTAATGTACGGACCTGAAAGGACTGACCTTCTAGGCTATAGCGATGCTGATGGTAGCATGAACGAGAATCGCAGGGCGATCTCAGGTTATGCTATAGTGCTGGATGGAGGATCAGTGTCCTGGTATTCAAAACAACAAGAAATTGTGGCCTTGTTGACGACAGAGGCCGAATATGTTGCGGCGGCTTATGCAACTAAGGAGATTCTATGGGCAAAGATGTTTATCAATGAAGTCTTCAAAGGCGACTCACCACCTACCACTCTTTACTGCGACAATCAATCAGCTATTGCCCTGTCCAAAGACAGCCAATATCATGCGCGGATGAAGCATATCGATGTGCGACTGCATTTCATACGCCACGTGGTCGAGGGAGGAAAGATTGAATTAGTGTATTGTCCCACGGACAATATGATCGCCAACACGCTTACCAAGGTGTTACCGTCCGCAAAAGCAAAGCACTTAGCTGCCGCACTTGGACTCCGTATGGCTTGAGGGGGAGTGTTGGACGAAGAGTTTCGAGCGAAGAGGCAAGCCAACACGAAGTGCCTAGAAAGGAAGGCGAGTAAGTACGGGTGGCCCGTGCACCACTATATATCATCAGAAAATTTTTGCTTCCGTCTTACCTATAAAGTGGCCTGGTCGCCACATAGCACCTCAGACTCATTCACGAGTTCTGAGGTGAGACCCTTATGTTATACCCTTTCAAATACCTAGCTAACCATTAGTAAAGACCCTCTATCTTATCTAGGTACTTACTTGAATATACTTAGACTCATTCGCGAGTTCTGAGACCCTCTATCTTATCTAGATCCTAACGACTTGAGTGGTTGAACATGATTTTGAGTACGACACACCTGAATTTTTTGAAACTGAGATTGCAGTACCTTAGTAGAGTGTTACTTTCTTGAAAGTCACATACATGGAAGGAAGGAACTCAATAATTCAGGATTTTGTGCTAGGAAAGTTGGAATATAGAACTGCTATGGGTTGAGTTGTTGAGGAAAAATGACAGTGGACATATGTTTTCAGAAGTGTCCGAATAGCCCCCCCCCCATCCGAACTGACAGTTAACTACAGTATTAGTGAGAGGGGTGTTTAAATAAAAATATGCCGATGGGCGGCATGTACAAGGTTTTCATCCATAACCATCTGGCCAAAGTAGATGTTTATATGAATACGTTTAATAGAACTTTTACCTGACAAGTTTTGCCACTATGGTGAAATGGGTTTTATTATGGGTTTTCTGACTTGGCTAGGTAGGCATCATGCACACACCCTTGGCAATCTAACTAGCCATACTATGTTTGTTGTCAACTCTCAACAAGCATTGGTCTTTCTCGGGTTCCGAGGATGTCTAGCCCACCTGTGATTCCCTCTTTCGCAGTATCTGGTTCTGTACGATTGTAAGAAGAGCATATAAGGTCTCGATACGCTAATAAAAGATCACAATCAGTCAAGATAATGATAATTACAGGACCACCACAAATAGGTGAGCTACTCACAGGGACGTCGACATTCCTCTCCCTCGCCATCCTCACCACCTCACCAAAGATCACCTCCACTTCGATTGGAAGCCCCTTTTCAACATCGAGTAGCATGCTCGGGAGGTACTTGTGTTCCGGATCCACGTGCTGCTTCCTCGTGTTCTCGATTGTAGTGTCAACGAGAGTGGAAGGTAAACCACCAGGCGCATCAGTGAATCCCACCGCTCGCCCTAATATAGTTAGAATATCAGTTCCATTATCAAAAACGCGACACACATCCGCTTACCTAGAGCTAAAAGTTCGCAGAGAGTGGCACGTATGTTTGGTATCGTATACTCCTTCACATAATCCGCCGTCGCTGGCGACACATACGGTTCGAACGACTGGCCAGGTCCAGGGGGTGGCCGAAATATAGCGGTCAGCGGAGACCGGGTCAGAGCTGAGAACGAGGAAAAAGCAATGTTCCAGAAATTCTTTGTGAACTTCACGCGCTGGATCTCCGGTACAATCGTGAGTTCCGTACCCCCAGCCTCAAGCATGGCGCCAAAATCGTTGAGAAGCTCGGCTTCTTGTGGGCTGTTGGTCGTTATCAGATGGTCTCCATGTCTGTACACTCCCAGTGACACCCTGTCCTACCAGTGTGTTAACAATAAGGGCCTTCATTCAGATTAGGACGAGGAGATGGGATATTTACGAAATGATTATGGGCTACCGCGTTTTTATCGATGAGATTGGTACCGATCCAGACAATAGAGCTGATAATGCTCGGTTCTCCTTTATCCAGAGCCATCAAGCTATGATAAAGATCCCTTTCTACATTAAGTCCGTTCTGCAAAAGGACATAGGTTGGCTGGGGATGTGTAGCGGCATATGGAGACTCGAGGAGAGGTGCCAAGAGAGCGGGCGTTCGGATTAGTTCTGGGATTGCCTTTGTGGTCAAAACAACGTACGAGTAGGGCCGATCGGTAGCTTCTGCAACAGATCTTACCACTGTTAACGAGAACTTTAGCTCAACACCCGAATATCGAAGACGATGTGACCATGATACGTGAACACGGAGTACTTCGATCTGACTTTCTCGACTTGAACTGATTTCTCAATGAGGGCACAGCGGTTCGTCCGCATTAACTACGTTTCAAGAAGGTGCCAGTGGATGAACATAGGCCGTAGACATAGGGCCGTAGACTGAGCCTGTGCGCTCACCCTTGGCCATGTTTATGTCCTGATTGCTAACGGCCATCGAGGATGACAAAAGGAGCAGTCTTTCAAAGGAATACTCACACCGGTCAGGTCTCCACGACGGTATATCCCCGTACTTTACGCTTTTAATGTGCATCCCATGAGCTGCCGCCAGGAAGGAGCACTCCGTCAGAACGTTCACGCAATCAGAACGTCATGCTCACCGTTGACGGCATCGTAATTACTCCTGGCGACAGCGGTGACACGAGCTAAACCACTTTTCTTCAAAATGTGGGCATCTAAGGTTATTGACACGATAAGGTGGTGATAAGCCACCAAGTCAGCATCTCAAAATCCGAACCGTGCAGGAGTTGATTACGTACATATCGTCCCAACCGCTCCTAAACCAACAAGGAGAACATCCTTCAAAGGAGCAGACATACCTACTCACAAGGGATGATAGAGTTTAAGCTGTAGTAAGATGAACCTCGTTTCACGGTCTGCTTTTCCGCGTGCGAACCTGTATATCTGATAAGGGCCGCTAACCTATTGCGGTCTGAGAAGACCTCAAGTTCACGGAATCATTCACCCTCGACTTCACGACCGATAAAGCTAGATTGCTACATATGTATTGAATTGAAAGTCCCCTCGTACCATGAGCGAAGGGCACTAAGAAACAAAAAAAAACCACGACGATAATAATGTGTCACCCAAAGAATAGATGTAACTGAAATGAAGGTCAATAAATATAGGAAAACTGTGAGGGTACCTATATTCTGCGTCTATTTCTCTTCTCCTGGTATTCTATTACCGCATACCATCCACCTCCAGCTATTGTCAGCAATATACCCATCCCGTTCGTGGGTGAAATTGCAAGGTTGAACATCAAAACCGCAAAGAATATTGAGAGTACTTGTTTGACGTTAGCTAGAAAGTGAATTAGTCGGTGCACAATAACGTGCTGCATATGAAAAGGCCACGTACCGGCAACAGTCATACTCAGAGGCCCAACTTTCTTGTTCGCCGTAAAGCTAACTATGTTGAGGGCAAAAGCAATGATACCGTTGGTGACCAAAGCACCAACTTTAAAACTAGTCATCTCTTCCTTACTATATTGTCGTACACGATCGAGCTCTCCGGTAATCTGTGCTAGAAACATGCATTGGATAAATGCGAGCGGTGCCATGCGTGTCAAAAGGTCAAGTGGATGCAGGTGTAATCGGGGTGGGAGTAGGGGACGGAGAAATCGAGAAGGTTGGTAGCCATTCGACGCTGACGAAGGAGATTGTAGGATACTTGTGAAGATAGTTTTGAAGGCAGCGAGTACAGTGCCGAGTATGGTAAGTAGCAAACCAGACAGAGTACAGTAATAATCCCCATAGGTGCTGATGACGATATCAAGCATTAGTCACGTACGCTAAAAAATTTTAGACAAGTTGACACGCACGAAAGGCCGACCCCCGCTATCACGGGGACTAAAGACAGGACTTTTTGTCGACTACTACGGACCCCGAACAGTACACTTGATAGGAAGATGGTAAAAATGGGCGTTGCAGCACGGACAACTTGGTGTAACTAGGACGATGTGAACATCAGTTTGGAACTGCCAGCGAAAGACGGTTTGACACGGAACGTACTGGAATCGTTACTAGTTGGAGAGATAGGTTACTGACGGCGATGTTAACGGTATACAGGACACTAAAAGCAATAAGAGCGCGGTTGTCCTTGTCCTTCAATTTGGCAGGAGTAAATACGCCATGTCCAAGTAAGATGTAGCCACCGATTGAGCCGCAGAGGGCATGTATGGCGGTGAGGGTATATGGGAAAGGAAAGCGAATGAGGACCACCTTGTTGTACAGAGTGAGGCCTAGGTTGAGGCAGAAATAGAGGACTAGCCAGAAAGCCTGTGAGCTGTAAAAGATGGAAGGTTGTTTTTGATGATGTAGGTCATCTAAGTCTTGGTTATGGACGGGTATACGAAGATCGGATAGAGAGAGTGAGCTGGAGTGGTGATGGGTGAGGTCGACTCGGGAATAGTTGTTTGGAGAATGAGTGTCGTTGGCAAGGGAATGATTTATGTTATTGGTGGAAGCAAAGCGATGGTGGGACTCTGGCGAGTGTGCTTCTGGTGGTTTTTTGTCCAGATAGTCGTGGTGTGAGAGGGAAGATGAAGTTCTGCGGTGGGATGCTTTGGGTGACATGGGTGCATCCCGGGTCTCCGAATCACTGTTGTCGCCGTTTCTAGTACCAAGCGCGCTGCCGTTTTGAGCCGGGGTGGCGGAATCCAAATTGAGAGAAAGATGGACAATGCTAGTCGGTAGCTCATGTTGAGGCTGCGGGGACGACATGGACAGCGGAAAACGTAGCAGGAGGGACGAGGACAAGCGCTGCAACGAGGCCGAGGCAAGAGAGGGACGCGAATGCGACAGAGATACAGACATTTCGGCTAGGGCTGGATTATAAGGATCGGATGTACTAGAACACGCGAAGTCTGGCGATAAACGCACTGCGCTTCTCCAGGAAACGAGAAAGAAAATGAGAGTGGAGCCCAAGACAGGTATAGTATTTAATTTTTATCACCAATTTACTGACCAACCGAGATCATACCACAGAATAAGGTGGCGTGGGAACAGCCCTCACCTCTGAACCAGCTCAGCTTAAACCCTTCAGTCCCTTGCACCCTTCCCTGCAGCTCTCGTCATGCCGCCCACCACGCGTCCGTCGACATCAGAACAAGCCATGAGCACCCATGTGGCCAAGCGGGCTCGCTCAGACCCCGAAGATCACCACAGGGATACAAAAAAGGTCAAGAAAGATCATGCAGACTCACCCAACCTCAAGCGCGACTCCAAGAAACGCAGAAAGAAAAAGAAGAAGTTTCCCGTGGTCGTCAAGGTCGACACCCCTTCGCAGAGCCGTGATAACAACCCAGATATACCGCGGTCGTCATCTCTGACCCTCGGCGACGATGCCACTCTCAATTCAACACCGTTATCGGTCGGTGAAACCAGCAACCTCTCCCTAATGAGCACAGACGGGCACCCAGGCCAAGCTCAAATACGCGATCCTGAAGAAGTTTCACAGCAAACATCCAGTAGTCCAGTACGTTCTGTTGTCTTCCAGTTCCACCTTGGTTCTTCATGCACTTTCGCACCTTCTTGTCCTTTCAGAAAGGGAAAGCCAGAGCCATCGATGGTCCTATCTCACAGGACAGCAGCTCGATGCCCAGTACAGCGTCTCTCGAACTCAAGATCAGTCAGCTCACCAAGGAGCTCGCCTCCAAGAACGAAGTACACACTATCCCCTCTTCTCGTTTGGTAATGCTGAATAATTGTTCTCAAGTTGATCGAAAAACATCAAAACACCCTCTCTCAATTCCAACAAGCTATCACTTGTCAAATATGCTTAGATCTCATGCACAAACCCTATGCTCTAGCACCGTGCGGTCATCTTGCTTGCTATGACTGTCTGGTACAATGGTTCAAAGCGCCACCAGCCGATGGACGTGGGCCTGCTCCTCCAGCCCAGTTACGCAAGAAAATATGCCCCCACTGTCGTACAGTCGTTAAAGAACGACCAGTGGAAGTATGGGATGTCAAAAACATGGCCAGCGGACTCAGTAAAAGTGGCCTTGTATCCTTACCAGAGCCTATTGTTCGACCCACGAACAATAACGCTGGTGGAAGCTCGCAATCCGCCTCCGACCCCTGGGCCGGTATATTCCGCAAATCGTCAGGCATAGATCTCGACTTTTTCCACCCAATGATGCGCTTTGGGTTTGGGCGCGAAATGGATGACCCGCCGCCGCCTGGGCAAGTAGCAGATCTTGGTATGCTAGACGTAGAAGACGGCGGAATATACCGCTGTCTGGACTGCATGCACGAGATTTGGGATGGTGTGTGCTCGTCTTGCGGGCGTGTATATCCTGGTCATCACCCCGAGAGTGACGAAGATGACGATGATGGCTGGAATGAACGAGTAGACGAGATTGATGACATGGGTGAGTTCGTAGAAGGCGCTGGCTACGACTTGGCCGGGGCTGGGTGGGGCTGGGATGAAGAGGACGAGGACGATGTTGATGTTGACGATGATGAAGACGTCGAGGAGGATGACGTCCCGTGGTGGTTTATGCAAAGGCATCAAGGCCGAGGACCTATACAGCACGAATTCGAGGAAGCCGACATTGATGGCGAAGAGGACGAAGACAACGAGGAGAATGGATACGAAAGCAGTTTTATCGACGATGAGGATGGTGGGACACATCCGGGTATCCTCACCCTTGCTGTGACGGCGAATGGAGATGTTTATGAATTTCCTAACCGTCAGCCTGCTCAAGAAGCGAGAATTGTTGAGATTCCTACGGACAGTGAAGATGAATCTGTTGAGGAAGACGCGCTACGGCAGCAGGCTCGTGCTCTCGGACGGGGAGTACGGTCTCGCCATTCGGCCATCGTGATCTCTTCTGGTAGTGAGGCCGAAGAAGACAACGATGACGGTGGTGGCGTTGCCTCAAGTCCGAGTGTGCAACCGATTGGTGGCGGAGTACGAAGCAGACGAGTCGTCATGTCTGAAGGCGAAGATGATTCGTGAGTTATGATGTACACCGATTACGTTTGAATACATGTCTCATATACGCCTGTTAACCTTGGTGATCATTAATGAACGGCTGTAAGCAGCCAGAGCGAAGTAGACCCGTGAGTAGTGAGATGTGCTGGACTTGTACTTGGATTAATTGAGTTGTCTTTTTGGATAGGGACCTCGCTGGTCGTGTGGCAGCTCGAGAACGGTTAGTATATTACTACTGGGTCAATGGCAGTCGTATTTATGGTGGTGTTTTTCCAGGGAATTGTATGGAGATGACGGTTCATTGGCTCGGCCGCCAGCACACCTCTCACGCTCCTCCCGCATCATTGAAAGCCCAACTCAGTCGGATAGTGATAGCGTGGCAGAACTGTACGCCGATGAAGAGCGGCCATGGAGAGAATATTCTGACGATGACGGTAGGGGGGAGGACGACTCAGATCACGAAGGGGTAGCTCTATGGACTGCGTATGATGGCGGGGAAGACTACGATGACGGTTATCTCTCTTAGCAAGTAATGAATCGGGGACATGTGTTGTAGCATACATTGAACTCAAATAATCAGATTAGATTGAATATGATCACGTGCGCTTTCGGCTACGCGCCTCGAGGTTTTCGTCCTCGAGGGATCGCGGCGACAGCGACATTTAGCTAAGTTGCACCTTGATTTAGTGTTCAATTCACAACACTGCTTTACACGTTATTGTGTCTGGAGCATCGTATCACATTTCTGAGCGGCAGGATCTCTTTTCGGGGCTGTGATATTTGACTGGAGCTACAGCATTGGACCTTATTCGTGCTAGATCGAGGTTCACGCTGGACGTTCTGGGTGATGATTGCGGCAAAGGACATGTTATCTCGCAATGTAAAGCTGTGGAAGCCTATCGCAAGGATACCTCGTTTGGCATTGCATTCCTCACACAGCCAACGTGGATCATCTTCCACTCACGCGTCACAAACTCGTGCTCTTGGTGCTGGGACTGACCACTTATTAGGCGTCATGCCTCGCGTGAGGTTGGATAAACTGTACGCGCACCTTCGTCTTCCCTTATACGCCTCCTGTTCTATCCTACCCATCTCTCTCCCTATCGCATTATCGTTTGGTCCTCGTTTGTCGGGTACAGACTCTTAACGCGCCTTTCACATTTCATTACTCCCTAGCCCACCAATGTCGTCTCGGACAGTGCAGCACAAAAGCTCAAACTTGCAGAGGTCATCCGGTCCAAATCCACGTCCAAGGCAGACAAGCACTATACATTGGCTCTTTCGTTCAAACCTTCCAAATCGCAGAAGTTCGGTGTACAGTACCGACCTTGGTCGGAGAAACTTCTTCGGAATGGGAGAAATATTCAGCGTCTTAACAAATGTGCGTCTTATTCTCTCTTATAGCTGACTATATGCTATCATGCGTGCTGTTTTGCTGCATAGCATATAGTGGCCATCATACACATTGTGTTCTAAATCACTTCTCCTCAGCCTTCAGATACTGTGCGCTCTCTGACAGAGTCTAAACGCCTCCTTGAAGAAGCACGACGTGAAATCAAGGAGAACAAGGAACGGTCTCAACTACGCACCAAACACACGTTCTCTCGCCTGCCAGGGTTTATTGCTCGCCAGGCTGAGATACGGGCGATCGAGCGCACGTTGGAAGGCGAGCCATCTTTCACGGTTCTTTTCGGAGCTAGCTCTGTGGGCAAAGTAAGCACTTCTATCGATTCATTCCGAGGGATTTCAATCTAAGTGAACACTGCTTCTCCAGACTGCGCTTCTTAGAGAAGTTCTTTCCCGCGAAGCATATCATGTCCTACATTTCGACCTTCGTATTCCTGGTTTTGCTGATATATCGAGCCTGTATACGAGCCTGAGCCAGCAGATGGAGCAGTATTTTGAGGAGGTCGCAAACCATCTCCCTGGCCACAATGAATTTCAAAAGGAAGCATGGAGTTTCAAGGTGTGTTTCCTTTGACTGATGATGCGAGTGATATAGGGTTAAGTTGTCAACTTAAGCACGATCGCCTCAACGTGGAGCGCCGAATAGGTGATGCTCCGGTAGGAAGCAACGCAGCGATCGTTAGAACTAGCGATATAGCTCGTCTTATGGAACTTTTCCAAGTACGTATCATAATCATGATTCAAGATAAATAGTAACATAAGTGGTTGGTATGTTAGAGCTCACTGTTAAAGTACTGGGAATTTCACCCTCCTGAGGAAGGTACTGATGACACGAGCAAGACCAAAAAAGGGTCGGATTCTTCCTCTGACAGGACGCATGTTGATCGTGCTTCTAAAAAGTCGCGGTGGGGTTTCAAAGGACGTAGCAAGAAAGACAAGGCGGTTAGGCGAGGTAGCGAGGATACTTCATCTACGCCAAAGGAAAAGGGGCCTGCAAAACCGTCGAAGAAGATGCCTGTAATATTTTTTGATGAGGCACACAAGTTGTGAGTATTCTTATTGGTTTAGTGTTATCCTCGAGATTGACTTGACCTTTGCGGAGGTCTAGACCTGCTCTTATACAGTCCACCGATACTATGAAATGCCTTCTGGACTCAATGCTTGTTCTCACGAAACAGGACCGGCTCTGTCACGTCATACATGCTACTAGTGATCCTTTCTATCAAACATGGCTAAGGCAGCTCAATGTGATGCAGCACTGCAAGGTATATCCCACTCTCATGTGTGTAGTAAACAAGACCAAACCCTTTTTTTCATAGATAATTACTATTGGTGATTGTTCAAAGGCAGAAACTCGATCTTTCTTCCTCGAACGCCTATTACCCCGTGTACCTGAGACGATGAGAAGTGGGTTAGGTTTCGAGATGCTTTACGAGGCGTTTGGTGGAAAGCTTGCACATTGGCAAGATTTTATTGATGACTATGGTGTGTCTTTTTCCATTCTCCAGAAGAATTACATTCTTAATCTGATCTTTCACTTCTAGTGAACTCTGGGGGTACATTAGAAGGTCAGCATTTCATTATTATTTCTGAGACACAGGGGTCGAGATCATTTATGTCCTGTTTTAGTCAAGCAAAGTTCACATTTCCTTCAGGCACACTCCATTCTTAATCTGCATATCATCCACTCCTCACAAGCTTCTTCTCCACCCGGTGTTGGTGACCAAACGCGACCGAATAGCAGCGGTCCTGACGCATTACACCCGCATCTCGGCGCTGCCGGCTTCAAGGTATACTCCCCTATCGGTAACGCAGTCCATTCCACTACAGGCGATGGCAGTGGGACGACGACTATTGGGGATTACTACACTGCCGACTTTAGCGCCATGCAACTGCTCAAAGTGATGAGTCGATTAAGTCAGCCTGGTGCCACATACCTACCATACTTCCTTCTCTGCCGCGAGATGGGGGTACGTGCAGTGGATGGCATGGTCAAGGGCCGAGTACTGAACTTACACTGGACGGAGACGATGACAAAGGAGGGCAATGAGCCAGTGAGGGAAAATTCCGTGCGGCTCCCAACTACCATGGTGGGAAACCACTTGGGAGCTCAGAGCAGTGCTACGGCCGTAGGTGTTATCGACTCGTCTGAGGATGGCGATATGGTGGTTGTCACTCCCGGAGATCTTTCAGCCCATATGTCTTCCCGAGAACTGGGTCAAATAGAGGAGGAAGAGCCAGAGGAAATCATAGGTCCAAAACTCATGCCCCTAACGCCGATCATGAGGTTTGCGATGAGGGAAGTGGTACAAGAGTATGAAGATGTGCAAACTCTATCGGAGTATGCTTCTCTTTCTGACGTTGACGAGTATTGAGCGAACTGGCGCTGCTTCTGTAGTCTGCTTTTTTTTTTTTCATTTGTTGTAGTTTTCTTCTTCTTTCTTCTTCTCATTCTTACGGGCATGTATCACTTCTGCATCAACACCGGGTGTTACCTGTGTTTTCATCATACCACTGTACGTACAGTGGTGGTCGTAATCTTATCCACGTTCATTAGTACATATGTAGACACTGTTTGTAGTATCAGACTCTGTATTGGCACCAATCTACTCTGGCCCAGCGTATCGCACATCTGCATTCGCTTCGAGCCATACTAGCCACTTCTTAAGGTACGATCCACCATGCACGACAGTGGAGGAGTCTCCAACGACACACTATAAACATTAGCGAAATCGTCATCAGCTCAAGACCACTTTGAAAAGGAATAAAACGTACCAGATGTCTCCTTGCGCGAGTCATAGCGACTATATACAATTAATAAATCAAGGTGAATCTGAGATATGGTCACTTCTCACCATTTAACCTTCTTTTCTCTTTAAGAAACCCTACTTCTCTCTGAGAAATAACGTTAGGCTGCATCAAGTAATAATCACAAACGCTTCATTCCTACCTTCTCATTACTTCGTACCAGGCTAATAATAACCGCTTCCTTCTCGCGCCCTTGCATGCCATCCACTGTGCCAATCTCAAGATCAGACCCATATGTAGGTCGAAGCAGTGAGGTCAACAATGTGACCTGAGCTTGGTATCTGTGCATCGATGTCAATCTCTCACCGATATGGGCGTTGGACCCATAACTTTACTTACGGTGTGATAATGGCAATTTGTGATGGAAGTATTCCAGCATCTACCTGTAGTTATATCGTGAGCAACGCTCACAGACCACAAGAATCAAGAAAACTGGCCAGTTTCCGAGTCCACTGTTTGACCACTGTTCCTTCGTTCTCATTGCAGCGACTACCATCGTCACCATCACCCTCCAGTCTTTCGTAGTATTCGCATCCGGCGGTGTCAAAAAAGACAACGGGAGTACCGAGAAGCTCCTTCTGTTCTTCTTCTGAATCGGTTTTTGTACCTGGCAAGTCATGCAACAGATGAGATGCAACAGATTCGTGGGATTTTAACCTCGAGGAATATAGAGTTTTAGATGGGAACTGGCATATTTGAGCATGCATTCTGGGAGCACCATCAGTATGCATCCGTCAGGAACGATTGTTAACTGACCGATATTGTACATTTAGCATGCGTTTAATTCCTGGACCGTACATTTTTTCAAGTCGATCGAACAAGGTCACTTCGAGTGTACGGGGTGGTCTCAATCCTGATTTCTTCTGTTTCTGCTTCGGTGTTCGCTTTTGCTTCTCATCTTTTGGTAAAACCACTTCGTCTTTATCATCCACAGCGTTTTCTTCTCCTGATTGAGACTCAGAGTCAGAGTTACTGCTCGAGCTGCTTTCATCATCATTCACAGGTGGTACGGAGGGCTTAGACGTTTCTTTATCCTGTGATATGACAGCTTTCTGTGACGAGACCGGGCTATTTGATTTCTTGTTTTGTCCTTGCTTTTGTGGCTGAGATTTAGCAATAGGAGCCGTTTTCTCTTTTTTCTCGTGTTTGTTGAGAGATAATATTGTGGGAGGCAACTGTAGTGGATCTCCAGCAAGAATCAGTTTTTTAGCTTTGAATATGGGGATCCAGCACACCTAAAGACGAACGATGCAAGTGAGTGGTTTAAAACCGAAAGAAGACTTTAGGAACAAACTGCTTCTAAAGCCTGTGTAGCTTCATCAATCAAAACTACATCGAAGGTGTGATTGTGCAACTGTCTTCCCCCCGCTGAATGGCACGTCGCCAAAACAATCTTAGTGATACTTCCAGCTTCACTATTTTGTATACGCCTACTGCAGCCCAAACACGCACCTGAGAATCACCCAGCACAGTCTTCACAACGCCGCCTTCGCGTTGGCGATACCTAGGGTACTATGAATAAGAGAAAATAAGAGAGAAATATTGGTATTTACTCTTTTCTCAGTGCTTTAACATCTTCCCACATCTTCTTTCGCTCCAAGCCTCTTGGTGCTTTTCCCTTTGCACCCTTTTTCTTTCCAGATAGCACATCGAGAGCTGCTTCTAATTCACTCTTCACGTCTTTGGCCAAGGCAGCCTAGGTGAAAGTGTTATCATGATATAACAAGGTTACAAAATGAATGAAGAAACCTGGTCACTGCGCCCAGCCTTCACTTCCAGTGTGGCTTCAAGCACCCCTTCGTGTGCCATTACACGTGCAGGATGGCCGATACGAGTCACACTCAGTTTAGCATTTTTGTCCGCCGCAGGAAGGGCAAGGAGTCTCTCGAGGATATTATCTACTGAGAGGTTTGACGCCCCACAAATAAGGATACGGTTTGCATTCGGATTTGCGGGGGTCACAGTGGTAAGTTGGCGAATTATTTCTATCAATGTATGCGTTTTGCCCGTCCCTGAAAGCGATAGAAGAAGTTATTCTGCGAGATACGAGGAAAAGTACAACCAACCTGGCGGTCCATGAATACAGGCAACTTCTGCAGACTCGAGAGCAAACTTAACAGCTTCCTTTTGACTCGGATTAAGTGAGTCGTCGAAAAATTGAAGATCAGGGACAGATAGCTTTGGCGATGGAGGTGTTATTCCGAGGAGGACTCGTGTCAGCTGCGACAATTCATACTGGGCTTTATCATTTGCCTGGCAATCATTGGTCAACAAAAATTTGTTTAAATGAAGACATGTAATACCTGTCGGGAGGATGGTATAACTGCCTTCTCAAGTGTATTAAGTGTCTTGTCCATTCTAAATAATGTAAGTACCAAAAGCAAGCCTGGGTCAGAAAACTATCACCTATCATAAGTTACACTATTGGCCAATTTGAGCACACGGCACCGCTCTGGTAATTCAAGCATGTCTGAACTGTTCTCAGATGAGTCGACTGCGATCACAATGCGAGTGTCAGAAACCTGTGTGTAACGTTCAGCATCTACATTTGAGTATAAGATCAGTATGGCCCTTACTTTATATACTACGCCCTCGGCTGCCTGCACGTTCTTAGATTCAGCACTACTTGGAGCAGCTGTCTTCTTTCCCTTGGTATTTTTCTTAGCTAGTCCATTGAGAGAAATGTTTTCTTCGATCCGTGCTAAATCCCCAGGCCTGAAATGATCCATGAAAACTACAACCACAAAGCATTGTACATAAATCCTTGCCTGAAAGTGTGAGGTGGAAAAATGACGGTTGAATGATAAGCTGCTGGCCGTTCCAACTCGACCAATCTAATATCAATCTTCTCAGTAAGATGTCAACTTTACTGAACCAAATACATATCACAACCGAGACATACGTTTTGCCTCCGAGTCCAATATTAACTCCTACAACACCTAATCCTCCCAACGCAAGACCCTTCTGCTCAAGTAATTTGGGCCCACAGTTGGAGAGTAAGAGAGAACTTCGCTCGATCTCTGCATCTCGTTCCTTTGCAAGCAGCACCCGATGGCGCTCGATGAATGCAGATAGCTGACCTTCTGTTGCCATATGATTGCAGATCGGTGACAGATTCAATGGCGATACTTCATGAAACTTGAGTTTGTGGTCATTAACCAGGACGTCCAAGTCAACCCAGGCGCGGCTTTCCGTCAGGCCAAAGGCCATATGTCTAATCTTATCAGATAAAACCGGCGCTAACCATGACATCCTTGTGAATTCAAAGCCCCGCTTTGACGTTAGATAGATTCTTCAAGTTATTTGGATTACCTTGACCACAATGTCTCCTGATACATCTATAATCTGGAGACCCGATGATGATCACACGATCAGACCTCCCCGCAAGGAAGGTGAGGTATACAGACCTGATATCCTTGAGGTAATCGAGTCTACGATAGATGGATTAAGTGGAGAACTGAGGAAGCTCAGTCTCGATATTCATGGTGAGCAGCTCTTTTCGACGTAAATATGTGAGGACACTGCTAACGGCCCTGATTCCGATTCCTATCATTTTAGACCATCCCGAGCTCAAGTTTGAAGAGAAGTGTGCATTGCTTTATCCTGCTCTCATCAGAATCGCGTAACCTACATGCACACTCACTAGGTATGCCCACGATGCGTATACTGCGTTCATGGAGACACAAGGATTCGTCGTCAAGAAGCATCATCTTCTCCCCACTGCATGGGTGGCGACTTACACGCATGGCCAAGGAGGCCATGTTTTAGGGATAAACTCTGAGATGGACGCGCTTCCAGGGATCGGCCATGCATGTGGGCATAACCTCATTGGAATCGCAGGAGTCGCGGTTGCATGTGGTGCGAGGGCGGCAATGGAGAAACATAACATCGATGGGAAAATTATCCTGTTAGGAACTCCTGGTACGTATTATCCGACGACTATGTGTGCCCTCAGAACCGACGGCCAGTCTTTTCAGCGGAGGAAGGAGGTGCTGGCAAGGTCCTGCTTTTGGAAAAGGGAGCATACGATGAGATGGATATTTGCTTGATGTTGCGTATCGTCCATATTTCCCTCTTTATCACCTGTGATCAGAATTTCTGATGAGTGACTTTGAACGACAGGTGTCACCCCGCTCCTGGGCCTCGCCACTCGATCAGCCTTAGTTCATGCCTGGCACTGTTCCGTATCGAAGTAGAATATTTGGGACACACGTTTGTTCACTTCCATTTGGTGGTGAATTCGTAGCTGATGATACCCCTTCTAGTGCGCATGCAGCATTGAGCCCATGGGAAGGCAAAAATGCTCTCGATGCAGCTGTCTTAGCTTATAATAACATATCACTTCTACGGCAGCAAATCAAACCAACACATCGCGTGCATGGAATATTTGAAAAGGGGGAGGATTGGGCTGTCAATAGTGCGTAATGAACGATCGAAAGGTGACTTACAATATGCTGAAAATTGATAATAGTTATACCGGATCGTTCTAAAATGGCGTAAGTGTATTTTGTACGGCGTCATTGAAGCAAGTGGAGCTATATGTTTATCCAGCTGGTACGTGCGGGCACCAACGACGGCGGAAGCTGAAGAGACGTTACAACGCGTTATAAAATGTTTTGAGTGAGTAACTTGTAACCTACGGGTATACAGAACTTGCCTTTAACGAAAACAACCCTCCAGAGCAGCGGCTATTGCTACAGGTTGCACAGTCAAGGTCGCCACACCATACGGTGGTAACGAAATCAGGCAGAACAAGGCCCTTGGTATCTAAACGTTCATCTTCATCTTATTATCAGGTGGATTTATCCATGTGTGTTGTTTTCACTCCTTTCAGGGGACGAAGTGGCCGACGTCACGCTCAAACGATATGGAGCAATCGACTACGAGTGGGGAATACACAGCGCGTCGACTGATTTCGTGAGCATGAACCTTTATCGAATGTCTATTCATATCATAAATTTGATATCCATGTAATGTGTGATAGGGAAACATAACTTACGGTAAATTTTCCCTTAGTTGATTCTAAGTTGAAATAGCTCATGAACTTAAAGCTCTGCCTTCCCTCCATCCCGGATTTTGTATGTTCCGTGTTAGTCTGAATTTCAGCCGGTGTTGACTTCTTGTTCTTCTTGACAAGCTATCCCCACTATTCACGACGGAGGCAACCACACACCCGCCTTTACTGCAGCTGCGCGATCTGAAGTTTCACATGAAGCATGCCTTGTTGTTTCCAAGGTCCTCGCAGCGGTAGGTGTGCGTGCGCTCAATGACAATGACTTTTTAAAGAAGGTAAAGTGGAAGTTCTTTCCCGTGATGCACATCTTTTAACCCGAAGACAAACCACGATCTAACATAGGTGAAAGAAACTTTCGAAGAGGACAAAAGAACTCGAGGTGCATAGTAAGATTGGTGGTAAAGCCAAGATTTGCTTCGGAAAATTTTACGTGTTATGGTTACAACTTGAAGCAAGTCAAGAAATGCGATGCAAAATGATTCACGTGACCTATATAATTTTACGACGATCTTATCAGATAACCACTATGTATTCACTTAACGCTCACGATGATAATCTCGAAGCCTGCCCCGATTAAACTAGCAAGGTAGGACTGGGACATTTGCGGGTTATTCCTAGAATCAAGAAGGCTATCATTCACTACATCGATTCGAAAATCATGGCCCTTGATACTTCCATTATCTGGCGACCAGAAGATGATCCATTGGTCAGGCCTCCTCTGGAGAAGGGAGATGTATACAGACCTGATATCCTCAAGATAGTCGAGGCTACGATAGATGGAATGAGTGAAGATCTTAGAAACCTCAGTCTCGACATACATGGTAAGTTTGACTGTCCTAGGGTAACCTCGATCAACCAATTACTGGGTACACCTCCCAGACCATCCTGAGATCAAATTTGAGGAAAAGTACGTCTCATCTTTACTTCATTCAAACCCACTCCAGTACTAATCCCGTTGCAAATTCGCTTGGTAGATATGCTCACGACGCATACACTGGGTTCATGGAGAAGATGGGTTTCGTTGTTACCAGAAACTTCCATCTTCCTACTGCATGGGTTGCAACTTATACCCATGGGCAAGGCGGTCGTGTATTGGGTATTAATTCTGAAGTAGATGCACTCCCAGGTATCGGGCATGCCTGTGGGCACAACCTGATTGGAATTGCCGGAGTCGCTGTTGCATGTGGTGCAAAGGCAGCCCTCCAGCAACTTGGTATCAGTGGCAAGATTGTATTACTGGGTACCCCTGGTGCGTATCATGCTAAGTGCTCTATGCCGATTCGAAAAGCTTATAGGTTTCTGGCGGACTTCTGTAGGGGAAGAAGGCGGTTTTGGGAAAAATATGCTTCTAGAAAAGGGGGCTTATGAGGAGATGGACGTCTGTCTCATGTTCGTTTCGGAAACTTACTCCAGGGAGTGCGTAGTAATTCAATGATACTGCAAATAGGTGCCATCCTGCCCCAGGGCCTCGTCATTCGATCAGTCTCAGCAGTAGTCTGGCTTTGTCCCGCGTAGAGGTTGAATTTAGTGGACACACGCAAGTCTTCCTCGTGATTCGTGCCCTCGTATCTTGACATAGGACCGCGCTTTAGGGCACACGCAGCCTTAAGCCCCTGGGAAGGAAAAAATGCACAAGATGCAGCAGTCTCGGCATACAACAACATAGCTCTTCTGCGACAACAGATCAAACCGACACATCGTGTCCATGGAATCTTTGACAAAGGCAAAGATTGGGCTGTCAACAGTATGTTTTTAGATCACTTAGACCCCATTTCGCCTTGGCTGATATGCGTTTTTTTTAGTCATTCCAGATAATTCTAAGATGTCGTACGTACATATCGCAGTGTCGTGTCTCCTTCCACGTCTTTCGATAAATGATAATGATCGTGTAGTTGGTATGTCCGCGCACCCACGACCACCGAGGCACAAGAAACGACGAAGCGTGTGATTGCCTGCTTTGAGTGAGCGTCGATACTCATTTCCCCGATACCCATCACCTCGATAGCTCTGCATGAAATATACAAATATTAACAAAATTTCCATAACGGGTAAAATAGAGCAGCAGCAATCGCGACGGGTTGCTCGGTCAAGATCGATACATTACTGGGTTGTAGTGACATCCGACAGAATAAAGCTCTTGGTGAGGAACACCGAAATCCTCTCCACAGCTTTACTCACTAGTTCAACTTATCAAACGCAGGCGATGAACTGGCTGACGTTACGCGCAAGCGTTATGGCGCCATAGATTATGAGTGGGGTATTCACAGCGCATCGACCGACTTCGTGAGCTTTGAGCAGTACCTCTTACGACCTACTGAATATTAATTTAACATTCAAAATGTAGGGTGACATTACTTACGGTACGCTCTGGTCAGAATAATCGTTTATTTCATCGGAAATGACACACCCGCACTTCTACTAGCTCTTCCGTCTCTTCACCCGGGATTTTGTTCGTATGACTCCTCCACTTAGCATCAGCTGTGAACTCACTATGGCGGTCGTCCTCAATTTATTCTTGACAACAGCTATTCCAACAGTACCCGATGGCGGTAATCATACTCCTGCTTTTACGGACGCTGCACGAACAGAAGTATCGCATAATGCGTGTTTGGTCGTTTCCAAAGCACTAACAGCGGTAGGTATGCGTGTTTTGACGGATGATGCCTTTTTGAGCAAGGTAAGTGGTATCGTTCGTGCACATGACATGAAGTACGAGTTTCTGATGGAATTAATAGGCAAAAGAAACTTTTGAAGAGGGTAAGATTAGCATGAATTCACAATAAAGGAGAGGACGCGGTGCCGAATATAGTGGGAAATGATTTCCCAGTCACATTCAATCTCTGTATAGTATGGAAATCAATGATACATTGCTTGAAAAAACTTATTAGATATCATACTCACATCCCGCGGGATATGCCAACAACCACAACCATGCTCATATCTTTACTCTATAGTAACATCACCGTCCCAGGCACGTCATCGTTTCTCCCGTCAGTGCCAGCTTTTGCAGGTACCGCCACCTACCACAGGAACTGTTCCGCTGTAAGTTTCAAGCCGCCACTATTGTCAGGGGCATTGACATACGTGATGTTTGCATACTCCTCTTCGTGGTTAGCTTGAAACGTTACAGCCACCCGTCAGTATTTACCAATATATGGTCTAAGATAACACCACTTACTAGAGCAGCGGCAACGACACTAATCTCGTTTCACATCAAACCCCGGATTTGCTGTGCGGTCTCCCAGTGGAATGAGAGTGGAACACTCAAAAACTTTTGAAAGAACGAGCCTCAGAGCAGACTACGGTGAACTGCACGACGCCGATGGTGGTAGGGCGTCCTTTAGTAAAAACACGCCATGACCATCAGTAAAAGTAATGAGCACTCAGATAGAGATACACTGGCCAGTGAAATAGTGCACAGTTTGAGGATACTGAAATCTGACCGGTGGCTAGGCACTCGAATTAAACCCAAGCTTAGAGCATAGTTCGTGAGTCCCTCGAATACAACAAATTCACTGGTGCAGATAAGTCGCTGAATGAGGCTTCATCAGCGTATCATCAGTCATAGACTGACATAAAACAACAGGTTTACGGGCAGTGCAAGGATGTCGACGCCTGGTTACTCGTATACTTGATGTGCACCGCAGATACCTATGCGGCGAGACACATCCCCAGCTATCTGCTGATTGAGAGGTAGCTCCATGCGTCGTTTGGGACCGCTCTAGACGTCCGAAACCGCCCCAACCCACTTGATCGAAAAATGGCGAACACTTACTATGCACCACAAACCTGATGTCATCCGTCCGGTTCCAGCTCAAAGAACCAAGGTACAGAGAAACATCATGCTATGTGCGGTAAATGATGGCAGAGAAAAAAGGCTGTATTAACTGTCATCTTACAATGACGTTCAAAACTGCACAGAAAATGCATCCATTAAAATTGGATACCATAGGCACCAACAAATTCTATAACCAGCACAATTTCTACAGTCAGTCATACATGCTGCAATCAATGCGATCCATGCAGTGCGACGTGTCCTGCCTTGCTATTGTTCCATGCGTCACGGCTTTTTGCCCAACTGTATATGCCATATCCTACAAGAGGTGCTCAGTACAGGGACATGTGATATTATACCGCTGGGTGACTTACCAGCTGCAAATGGGACAATCCAGTATGGCATCTGGCTAGCAAGACGCTTGTAACCATTGAATAGCCATCCACTGAACATGTTCTTGGTCGCGCGTTGCCTAAAAGGTGAGAGACCTGGTGGATATTGATCGGCGCGAGTAAGTCGTGGTACACAGTTCAAGGTATCATATAGCACCAAGAATCCACAGCGTTGACGGGGAAATTTTGCGGAACGAGTTGAGAGTAAAAATGACGCGCGAGACCTTCAATAATCTGCAATAAAAAAATCCGAAGGGCGGAGCACGCACTGTAGGTGGTAACACCTTTCATCTTCATGTTACTCGTATCGCCCCACCATGGATTCTATCCTCACGAGATTCAGCATTCGACGTACGCTAGCGTTCTGGATGTGAACTCACGTATACTTTGGCTAAAAATTAGTCAAAGGAATGAACCACCAGATTAAAGACGTGTTAATGTAGGTCAGGATGCCAGATAGATATATTACATACGGCCTGGCATATCACTGGAAAGCACATTTGTAGGCTTCATGATGGGCTACGCTTTGTGAGGTGTGTCTATGAAACCAGGAATAAGACAGACAAAAGTTGGAGGATGGTTTTTGGTGCAAGCCCGAGCTTTCCCGGGACTGGACAAACAGAAACCAAATAAGGCCACGACGGCTGCATACGAGCACACCATAAATCTGAACCACCACACTAGGTACGTGTCTCACAGCAAATATTGTAGCTTTTATGTTAATGCCAGTCCAGTTATACAGTCAACTTGCACGCTCGCTAAATTCAAAATGATGTCTCATCAAACCCTCTACAACCTCGCCAACTACCTTGGTGCTCTCGCTATGGTCACAGTTGTTGCATACCACTTCGTTGCTGTAAATGCGCGACACTTGGCTGGAAATGGGAGCGCTCAACAGTGATTGACTTCGTGCGTGTTATAATTGGCTGGGGAAGAGATGGGATGGGTGTAAAAGCACTGTAGGCAATTGGTTAGTCTTTAGCTCTGGTAAATCTGGTAAATCTCACGCGTCATTTGACAGTCATTACAGTATGAAATATATTTTGCAGCTTGTAATTTTGCGACGACCAACCATTCGACTCTTCCTTACTCGCGCTCATTCGCTACAGTTGTGTTGCCTCAATACCTGCCCCTCAGCAAATGTTCGATGCATTGTTCTCATTTCCAGAAGTCCAGTTACATATATTCGACCCTATAAATCCACGCAATAAGACCATAACTAACTAAAATTGAAGTTGCTGAATGATATCCAGTACCTAGCAAGCAACCTCCCTGAATCATCTCGCTATACCTCCTTGCTGATGTTGTCCCTCCATTCGGCCAACACCATCGCTTCTCCGGTTCGCATTGGTGGGATCATTCAACTGAAGTGGCTCGCGAGAAGCTGGTTGCGTCTGGACAAACTCTGGGTAGCGTATGTCCTCTTCCTCATCATTATTCGAGCAACAGCTGCATGCAGGCGTTCCCGACGGTGCTAGGAGAATTTGAGACAACACACTCAATGTCGAAAATTTGAAAGCTACTGGTTCACAGATTCTTGTTGTACTTACAAGATGATCCACAAAGCGCAGAACAGAAACCTTTATGGAGGTTAACCATGGTAAGAATGATTCGGCAGGTAATTCGCGAGAAAGCACTTACAGCAACAAGTCATGAGACTGCAGACAAGATCACAACAGTCCATACTAGTATATACGAATCTTAGTGTTTAAGTGATATAGTAACAGGATTCTAGGAGGATATAAGTAAGAGACAAGACTTTAGCAATGAGTTGAACGTTGAGTGTTGTAAAACTCGTAACCAGATGCTTCATTATATGTAACTGACAACGAAATACTCACACGTGCATGTTTACAGAAAATGCGCATGTGGAGAACGCTGTCCGTAATCTGATCGAAACCATATTTATGGTGTTTAGTCCACGCCCAACTAGTACTGTACTTAAGCAAGCAGAGTATCATTGATATAATGGTCAATATCAGTAAAGCTTTGCAAGAGTCAGACCCCCTTCGGGTACTCATAGAGAAAGCAATAAAGTAATGATACCAACCAAATCAATCGTTGCCAGGCGATATACAGTGCACCTTCCAGAAATCTGATTTACCCGTTCAGGACTATACTCCAAGGGTACTTTGCCAGTGAACCCTTGGACTGCATCAGTGTCAGGATGAAGCGATTTGAGGACCTCACCACAGAAGCCTTCCATCTGTGCTAAAGTTCACATATGTAAGTTTTGTAGGTATGATGGGAGCTTCTTATCCAAGAGCATCGATAAACAGATTGCACGGTAACAACAGGTAGGGGGCCTCGAATTCTGGCACATTGCTTACAGTATCCATGTCTAGATCGGAATTCGCCGCTAACAATACCCAATTGACCATGACACCTCCTTCATTATTACGAATAAAGCATATCCACAGACGAGGCGCAACAGGGTACATCGCCTGGTAGGTACACTTACGTGTAGAACAATAATCAGGACAGTAGAGATCGGTAAATGTTGACCTTACTATACCTTCAACGACTGTTGGGTGCATAGAGTTTAATTTGGGTATGGCATTTTCGGCTTGGACCTTGTCGAGCAGGATAAAAAATCCGTGACGGAGCAAAATGAAATCATGAGTCCTTGTGTCGTGGCGGAATCAAAGGACTATCTTGTTGACGGGGCTGCTTGGAGGCTGGATAGGTAGTTTCTCGATTTGATGTTATGTAGTAGAAAACACCAAAAGATACAAATGATAAACCAAAGAAGAAAAATGGGTTTGGGCCTCCTCGAACAGGTTTAGAAGGAGGCATTTGCAGCGGTATTAGTTGAAGTGGTCAACATTCAAGAACAAGTCTCAGCGCGCGTGAAAACCAAGTTAAGAAGCGTGAGATATTATTATATACTCTTGCAATTGAGCTATTCTTTTGCGGTCTGTCGTTTTTCAAGCTGGCTTTTTGAATCTTTGTGCATCACCGATATCGCCTTTTGAAACCAGTGGCCGCTCTTGTGTTACTCAAAGCGTTGTAGCACGCCCCACTGAAGAAGAATTGTTTTTCGATAGCAAAAAGCAATAACCATCTGGAACTGTGACTCTTCGTGCATTACTACGACTGGGCGCATCGTTTTGCAACTTCCACTAGGGAGCTACTTTGCTACACGTTATAAAAGCGATAACCATAATAGTATCTTCACTATCAGAACGAACAATCGGAATGAAGTTAGAACTCGGAAAGCTCGAGAAAATTGCTTATCACGGAGCGCATGCATCTATAGAACAAGGGTTAGATCTACCCGCATATTCTTCTCAGATATCATACGTGCGCTATATTTTGCACACTCCTCTTGTTCTGCCTTGTCATATAAATTTGTATGGCAATAACAAGCAAAACATAACTCAAGGTAAAAGTAATACTTTCCTTTGCAATAGGACTTGCAAATTCACGTCGTATTTCCATTCACTGCTTTAGGAAAGAAAATGCGGGAGCCAGCAGGTTCTGTGGATGCTATCACCGACGGAATCCGCAACTCAGGGTCCCTGGTGATTGGCCTTTACAATGCTATGTGTTCCAGAACGAGTGCATTCATCCCATCTTTGACTGTCGACAGGTCAAGTGACATGAAGTTGCCGGCACTCGTCCAGTACATGACATCGGAATTCTCACAGCTCCATGACAGGCCAGTCTTGCAGATAATTGCCGCAGTTTCGATTTAGCCATCGATATGATTGGCGGGAAACTTAAGGTACAGGCGCTCTGTTAACGCGACAAGCCACTCCGCTGTGGAACAACGAAGAACACCATTGCACATGGGTGAGCGGCCTTCTTATACAACAGACACTGTAAGCCTAAACAGTAGCTGAGAAAAGGTCAATGGAAAAACTTGATGTTCCTTTTTGCCAATGGTGGGATATTTTGCGGGCCCGTCGGACCAGTTGCGTTGACTTGAAGTCTGTGTTCAGTGGTGTCCGGTACCATTCTATTATGATCTCCTCGCAGCTCATTCGCTATATATCATCTAGGATTTATTCTTCTTTCTTGCACTGGTAAATATCTCATCGTGAAGTCTAAGCTTCCAACTCGATGAGCAGGATCGACCGTTTGTTCAGGAATTTCAAAAATCCTGCACATTCTGAGCGTTTAAGTATCTAATATTATACCCTCAATTCCATGTTATGAAATAGAGCTCCCTACTCATGGTCAGAACCATACCCGTATACTCCGTACAGCCAATCATGGCCTGTCCCACATACCCTTTGGTCCGCTGTCTCGTTCCCTGTTGTCCATTACTACATCTAGTCTCCGAGATTCATGGCTTATTGGCAATTCTCCGCTTGATTGACATCGGTAGACGCCGATTGCTGTTCAGGTTTACTCCAGCCCCAGCAAAGGCACCCGTAAGGAGTAGAATTTCTTTCCTGACATTGATCCAATTATGGTCTTCACCGCTAGCGCCTACTTGCATTTCGATGTACTTGCCGTCTCTAGCTATCTAGAAGTTGTTGTAAGTCATGGAGTTACCATCTATTGGAAGCATGAAGCAGTGCTAAAAGAGCTACATTATCTCACAGGCTGGAATTGTCAAGTCATGGTCTGATGCCGATGTGTACGTGAATATCATAATTAATGCACCCTTGGTCCTCGTATTATCATGCTGGTTTTTCGTCCCCTGGCCGTGAAGTATATTGGCTTACTGTTTCTCTGGCATTGGTAATTCACAGTTCACCACTTCTCGTTAGTCCTGTGTATCGTGATACGGGACATACGCAGAACAACCCGCGATCTTCGCCTGGGCAGTGTACATATATCCTTTCCTGCACCTCTCCTTTTTTTCTTGGAACTTACGTCTGCGAAGTACCTGGCCTAATGGCATCAGTAGGCGAAATTTACCATTCCCAGGTATGTCAATGTCTGGTTTTTGACATGTGGTCTCTGGTGTCCATTGGCTTCCACACCAAGGTCCAGACCTTAGGCTGTTCGACAGACGCACGATGACAAAGTCTTCGTGACTCGATCTCGGACTCAGGGGGATCCACTTCCCGTAATATCTCTCCTTTGCAAGCCAGACATAGTGGCACAACAATTCAACACTAGTCTTGAACCTGAAAGGGAAGACTTTTTTTTTGAAGAGGTAATGCATCGCCTCGTCCTCTGTCCTGCGCACTGACCATTATTCGTGGTATAAAAGGGAGCCTACTGATGTAGGTTCTCTCCAGTCTCTCCAGTCGAACAACACACAGTAGTTCAGCTTCTATATCTTACAAGATGTTCTCTCGTCTCTCCACCGTTTTCCTTTACGTCCTCTTTACCTTGACTGCTTTCGTGGCAGCCACATCCCCAGTGACCACCACTGTCACCGTCACCGCTGTAAGTCAATGTCTCTGTTGTACGAGGCTTGGATGTTAGCCACTGACCTATTTGTTTGCATCGCGACCCTTCTAGACCGCACCGGGAAGTACTGTCACCACTGTTAGTCAATGCAACACGGGTGACTTGCAGTGCTGCAACAGCGTCGAAAGTGTCAGTCTCTTTTCCAAAGTTGTCAAACAAAACCCACATGAATACTGAAAATGTTTGCAGGCCAGTTCGTCAGGCGTGGCAGACCTCCTCGGTCTCTTAGGCATTGTTCTGGGCGATATCACTGGGCTTGTCGGCATTACTTGCTCCCCGCTCTCCATCATTGGTCTCGGTAGTTCTAGCTGCACCGCTGAGCCGGTCTGTTGCGAGAACAATACCTTCGTACGTGAAATCTTTACCTCTGAAATTTGAAGGGTCGGTCAATTTCTGACATCCTACGCGCTATTTCCAGAATGGCTTGATCTCCCTCGGCTGCTCCCCGATCACCCTGTGAGCAGCAGCAATGACACGCTTTCGGTGTCGAAGCTTGAGACTAGGCAAATATCTGTATGCTCTTAAACAAATTTGGTAGTTCCTTGATCTTTCTCTTGTTGGGTTTCACTGTTGGGTTCGGATGTAACTGTTTTTGGTGCTGCGGTATCATAGAATTATAAAGATTTGTGACGATATGTAAGGCATTACTGTGCGATTGAAGTCGTGAACATTGCCGGTACCTAAGATATGGAATGGTGATAGGAAATAGTACGGGACCAGCTCAGGTAGCGTTGAGCCTAAAAGCGAAACTCGAGACTTGAAATGGCGTTTCCCGAGCCTTACCATCATGATGCCATAACTGCTGGTGACATTGACACTGACAAACTACAGTTCGTGGAAAACACAATGGCTTTGAACTGGGAATCAGCATGAACCGGATTGGCAGATTTTGATTACTTCCAGCCAACCTCGATGATCTCTAGCGAGCGTCGTAGTCACAGTCAATGATGTTATGTTTGGCCGTCGCGTTCAAATTAACACGGGCCCTTGCTTACTATCGCCCAGCCTGACCGTGACGCTACATTTTCTTTTCTTCGTTTTGGAACAAGCACTGGGAGCTGATTCTAGTCTGAACTATTCTCAGATGGGCCGAATTCGAACTGCCTTAGGAAAACACCGGGGTTGTCGCATGAATCTCAATGTTGTCGTGTGGATCCTCAGAATGGGCCAGGCCATCCGGTACTCTGGCCACCACCATTGGGTACAAGATGATCAAATGGCCGCAACCGTTTTCCGGCATTCCTCGATATCCTGACATTGGAATATAGGTCCGCGGAGCCAAGCGTGGATAAAAGGACCGGGGCAAGGCACATTTCACTATGTCTAACGTTAATGTAGCATACCACCAAGCGGGTGAACTATATTCCAGGCGGCATGCCTTCATTCAGGTAAATTTGGGCAGAGAAGATTGATACAATCTCTACCCTTGATATTTTCTTTGGCAACGGTGGGACAGTTAGAACACGAAACCCCACGAAACTGTCAGATATCCTCGATAGGTCTGCGCCTGCTCGAGGCAATCCAGGTACCCGTTAATCTTGTCTTCTATATTTAAAAATTGCAGGAGAAACGCTGTTTTCCTTGGTGTGCTTGTCCGATGACCAGGCAGGGTGTATGCACCACGGATTGCATATCTGTATACACCTAGTATCTCCACTCTGTCAGACTGGGACCTAAGTACGTATGTGTGTCATCATCTTTGCATTCCATGCTCATCTACGGCAAGTATGTCTTCCGCTGTCTGTGTAGTTGCCCACCCTGCCTTCATTGTTTATCCGCCTTTTCATTCTTTTCAGTTTGTCGTGGCCCATTTGATGTGTCTGTCTGATTTCGCATCGGCGGGCGACCATTGACATAGCTGTTCTGTCATATGTTCGGCCTCGTTTCCGCGCGAATTAGAACTTCGACATCTCGCTATTATTTCAAGTTGTAGCTATCTGGAATCCGGATCCTCGTGTTGGCACTGCTCTCCTTCCTTCCGTTATGCATTCGCCTCTTAATCGCCAGATATACTTCTCGCCAAGTCCTCCGTGTAATCGTTATGTCAAGAATATGTACTGAAAACCGTGGTGTTCTGTGGATTCGCGCCAGCTCTAGTTATATCAATGGAATGCTTGCTTCTGTACTTTGTGTGAGTGATATTCGCCGAAGTTTCGTGGAGTGTTTGGAATGTGATGACCCTTTCATCAATCATCATCACCTGTGCAGCTGTCACCAGTCAGATTTTCATTCTGTTCGCTCCATTGGTTCCCCCTGGTTCTCTCCCCTGACCGTGAATAGCATATGACATCGGTAAGTCATCGCTGAATTCCTATCTGGCCTTTGCAAATGGTGAAGGCTGGAGTGGCGGCCATACAAAATGTCATTCCCCTTTTCATAGTACCTGGCGCGATCCTCATGTCGTGCAACGTCTCGGTTTCCCGCTTTTCATTTCCTATTTCGGAAATCTCCTGGGGGTCAAGCGTTGTATTGTTTTCTTGGTTTTGACATCGGTAGGCTGCGATCGCTATTCCCAGGTACGCCGTGCTGTTCTTTCTACCATGTGCTCCTCACTTTTCGACCCCAGCTGCAAAGTCGAGACCGAAGGCTATCCGACAGACCCGGGAGGAAGGACGAGGAAAATACCTCCAATTTCAGGGGGCTCCACGCTTGTGACATATCGAATGTGCCCACGGACGCTGACAGGATGAATGCATGACCAGTATCGTCCGAAAGGAGGACATACCTGAGTAAGTCCTGAATCGCACTGCCCTCTCTAAGTTGCGCACTGACCCTTCCCCAATGTATAAAGGCTCGTAGATATGTAGGTTATCTTCAGTCCAGTAACTTGCAATAGCTCAACTTGAACTTGACCAACCAACTACTTAACCAACCAACAACAATGTTCTCTCGTCTATCCACCGTTGTCTTCTACGTACTTTTCGCCTTGACCGCTTTCGCGGCCGCTACACCTTGGGCAACCACCACACCCCCAGTGACCACCACTGTTACCATCACCGCTGTCAGTCAACACCTCTGTTCCATGAGGCTAGGATGTTAGCCACTGACCTATTTGACCCTTTTAGACCGCACCGGGAACTACTATCACCTCTGTTAGTCAATGCAACACTGGTGACTTGCAGTGTTGCAATAGCGTTGAGAGTGTAGGTTTTTTCAATTCAATCTGTTAAAATATCAACACTCAAAGTATATCCAGGCCTCCTCAGCAGGTGCCTCCTTGCTCCTTGGTCTCTTGGGCATTGTGCTGAGCGATGTCACTGGACTTGTTGGAATTACTTGCTCCCCTCTCTCCGTCATTGGTATCGGTAGCTCTAGCTGCACTGCTGAGCCCGTCTGCTGCGAGAACAACAGCTTCGTACGTGCATTTTTATCCCGACAACTGATGGGAACTACCTGTTTCTGATGCCCCATCCGTTACTTCTAGAACGGGCTCATTTCCCTTGGCTGCTCCCCTATTACTCTTTAAACGGTTATAAGGATTCTAGTTGGTGACAAAGAGTTTCTTCGGGTATATAAAGTTTGAACAATGGCTCGTGGATTAGGGCGTAACTATCTTGTACTCTTGTGTAACTGATCTTGTATGAAATGTGCATGGGGATGTTATTTGCCACTTACTTAACGCGGCGAAATTCAAGATATTGAGGACTGCTGGTGACAGGAACGGGTCTGAGGTATTGTTAATCCTACTTACGACCCAAAGTAGCGGAGAAGAAAGAAGAATCTCAGGAAGAGATAGCGGGGTCAATACAGGGGCGAAAATGCCGCAAGCAAACCATGTACAGATATAGGATTTGATTTGCCTAGCACGATAGTTACAAGAATATAGATCGGAACGATACATACAACAAGTTCAAAAGAATATGTAGATTCAGAGAATAAACAAGGATAACGTTTGCACAATGTATACAGTAGTTTGTTAGCATGATAATCGGCACAAGTTAGAAAAATGAGGTCATTTTACGATGCACAAGTTTATTGAGTATGATATTACGAAGACAAGCCTAGTCGGCTGTTAACACGTTGGCGATGTTGGCGGTTCCTCAAATGAACCTCATAATTAGATAGCGTCTCGCCAGGACCGGGGGTGTATAACTGAATCTGGCATAAATTCTTTTGATCATCAAGATAGCAGGACGATATACGTACTTTGCCAGGACAATCAAGACACTTGAGTCTCCATTCTGGTGCCGTTTTAGATGTTGCCTTGCGAAGGATGGCTTCAAACTTGTCTTCAGGGTATCTACTTTGCATCTCATGCATAGCCTCAGAGAGCCAAGGCGGTGGTGTCTGATATCACTTCGTAATGAGCATAAACACTTTTCCGCGCCAATATCAAGCAAAGCTCACATAAGACGAGTCAACAGTCCCTCCAGCAACAGTACTGGGCTCGGTAGGGAATGGGGAACGGTTACCTTGGCTATTGTTACTAGTGCTGGCAGGCCTGGGAGCGGGGGAGCGGGTTGGGGTTTCTGACGTTGATGCTTGTGGAGGTGGAGCGGGACTGGCGTGACCACCGCCGTTCGCTTTTAAGAATTGCTGTGCCAATGGAGGCTCAGAGCCACTGGAGGATTCTGAGACGGGTGAAACAGCTCTATCGTCTTCCGATGGAAGCGCGTTAGAGGACGCAGGCGGCATAGAGGGGGCTTCTACTTCTGGCCTGGAGCGGCTGGGCGTATCAGGCCTATCATTATTGTTCTGCAAACTTGTGTTTTGTGCGCGACCCCTTCTCCTCGTGGTCGCAGCCGTCCCAACCTCTCGCCTAAGATTAATATGATACTCTGCATCGGCATTATACTCCACAGGACGTGGTCTACGATGTCTGTGCCAGAATTTTCCTATTGAGATCACCATTTAGCTGTGACACACGCGGGACAATATTGGTAAAATATACTTACCACAGGTCCCACACTGTGACTTATCGCCCAAAGGACCTTTCCGTCGGCCAATTGCTATACTTTCAGGGCAACCACAATTTGAACAGTGCCACACTCCGTCGATAAGATTCGCATGTTGTCCATCAGCATATTCTTTCTCTTTGGCCTCCCTCTCGAGTTCCTTCACTCGCCTAGCCGCAAGTATCCGTGCAGTCCTACTATCCACTGGCAGAGCACTCGCCGAGGAAGCAAATGATACTGGTGGGTCGTTCTCGGGGGGAGGAGGCAAAGTTGAGGCATCTACAGCAGTAGACTGTATGGGAGCAGTAACCTGGGCCCGCGGGCGAAGAACAGACGAAGGATACGAAGGCGCTTTGAACAATCCCTTTGGCTTCTTCTCTTTACCATTCGCCATCCCGCTCATCGCCGAAGTCGAAGTCTGCTGCACCGACATTTGCACAGGCATTGGCATTATACTCGTCCCATTCTCGGATGCAACCATGTTCGCGATTGTGAGTGAAGCAGCGGCAGCAGCAGCACGCCTCGAAGTCGGTGCATTCGCGGCTGCGGCCAGCGCCAATGTCGCAGGATCCAGCTCGGGGAATCCAACTCCAGGCGTACGGTACGTCCGGATGGGCTCGCGGTCAGGTAGCGCAATACCACGCCTACCACGGGTATTGCGCTTCCGACGCTTGGTGAGCTCTTTTTCCCGTTCCCTTTCGCTTCGCTCGATCTCACCATCGCTGAGATAGTTGAGGAGGGGTGTAAACGACTGCACCTGATCGATGGCCCGTGTACCAGAGTTAAGACTCGGAAGGAAGGACATACGCAAGTCGTCATCTTGAACAACTGATCCATCTAAAGGATGGCCTACGAGGAAAAGTGATTTTTGGTATATTTGCACTTGTTCGCGAATGCAATGGGCGATGGCGGTTCTATTAAGACGCAAAGATGGGCTATGCACTAGTGAACACAATAGATAACTTACTTGAATTCTCCACCCAAACCCAACTCTTTTGCATAAACTTCCGCGAACTGTTCCGGAGACGCCTCTATGTTGTCGAGGTCCCACTCAAACTGATCGTCAAGCTTCATAGTGCCAACGATGATATCCAGCTATTCGTCCCGTAAGAAAATCGAAAACATCAGTATCTCACATCAGCCAAACTAGATAGATCCACCGCACCTTGATCAATATTCTCATCTCTTCATGCATGCTCCTCTCGTCCCATTCGAGATCGTCCACATCAGTAGGTCTCTCCTCAACATTTTCCTTCTCTCCTTCCCCATCTTTTTGCATCTCATTATTTTTATCGACACTCTTCGCAGCCTCTCCTCCCACTTTTCTCCTCTTCTTTGCCTTCTTACTACCGTCTCCCCTACCTAAACTAACTGCCCTTGAACGTTTGCGCCATGCTTCCCACCACTGCGTCTCCTCCTCGTCCAAGCACCCTCTCCCTACCACATTCCCAGCATCGTTCCCGTTCTCTTCTCCGCTCGCATTCAAGGAACCCACCGTCCCTCCACGCGTTACTGTCGTACCTTCCCTCTCTTTCTCATCACCGCCCAACTCCCCATCAGTCACTTCTGTCACCTCATTCGCGTCTCCATCAAAACTCGTTGTATGTGCCTTATAGTCGCTCAGCTGGTCCTGTATCGCTTTTGTGATGGTCGTATGGTAACTCGGCGCAAGTGCATAGTCGTCCACAATAGACTGCGCAAATGCTTCAGGTGTCACTATAGGGTCTGCACATACCCAAGTATCAGAACGGATGACACAGAAGGCAAGATAGATGACTTACCGTTCAAATTCCACACAAACGTATCTCGCATCTTATGATGTTCCACATCAAATTCGAGCCTAATAGGTACAAGCTGTTCCGGACGATTCGCATCTTCAGGGGACAACTTGCTTGGTCTGCAATAAAGTTGCAACCACCGCCATCAGCAACACGCTCACCGTTTCACTAAAAATTGACAAGAAGAAACTTACATCCTAAACCCCTCTCGCCTTGGCTTCCTTCCCCTCTCTTTTGGGGCTCCCTTCGCCCTGGGATATCGGACATCAAATCCTCCTTCCCCCCTCCTCCTTGTTACCCCAGCAGCTCCTACAACGCCCGTACCCACAAAGTCACGCTCCCACCACGCTCCTCGGACGTTCTTCGCCTCCGCACTCATCCGAGATTTCATCCCGCGGTAAAGTTCCTCGTATGCATTATCCTGCGCCATGATTTCTTTTAGTGTGTCAAGATCAAAGGAGGAAAGAGGTGGGATTGTGTTCGTGTCGGTGTAGACGGTTGTAGGGATGGAAGACACTCCTTCACTAGCGGCCTCAGGCGCATCAGTCGGTATATCGTCCGTGCTTGTTGTCGTCGCGACAGCGGCAGTATCTTCATTAGCTGAACTATCGCTCGCGTTCACGTTCGCACCCGCAGCCACCTCGCTCGCGCCATTAGCAGTAGCGCCCTCACCTTCCACTTTCTTCACCAAAGTCGGGGCACGCGGGACGAGCCTCACATTGGACACGGTGGGGTTCAGTGAAGCAAGGTGAGGCGGAAGCTGCTGTCCTTGCACCTGTGCTTGTGGTTGTCCACTAGGTCCTGTAGCGCCCTGTGAAGCACCCGCACCTGCTCCCTCTGCCCCGTCCACCTTCGTCTGTCCCTCCCTACCAATAAACGGCCTCGAACTACTCGATACAGGCTGAGCTGCACCCATCCCTCCACCAACGCCCGGGCCAGGTGGAACACCATTAACGCTTACACTTCCCCCTGCTCCCCCTGCTCCACCACCTGCTCCCCCTAGCCCACTCGTCAATCTTGCCACATTAACAGACAAATTCCCGAAGTTATTCATCAGTCCTGGATTGAGCGCAGCACTAGCACCGGTGCCAAGGTTCATCCCGCCAAGGGCGTTCGGATTATTCATGCCTAAGCTACCAATGCTATTTGCGTTGGGAGTATGCCCAGGGAGTGCTCCACCGCCACCAACATTCGTGCTGGGGATACCGCCAATGTGGATATTGGGCATACCGTTGACAACTCCTTGACCTCCTCCTCCCGGACCTACACCTAATCCACCGGTACCAGACAAATTGGAGATGTTAACCACCGATCTTTCCCTCTCGCCTCCCATGTGACTTGCGCCAGAGCTCGTATTCATAGCGACGTTCCCGCCTAGTCCAATCGTCATATTTGGACTTTGTCCCTAAAAATACAAAACAAAAGATAGAAGGTCAGCACATCATTGTCCAAAAGCTCAACAACTCGATAGAAAAGAAAGAAATATATGTTTATCTTGTTTCAAATAATAGAGAACAAATAAAAGGGGGGAAAGGGGACGAGCGAGACCCAGACATGACAAAAAGAAAAAGAAAACACGAAAGAAACAACCCACCTGCTGTCTCCCCTGCTGCCCACCCGGCTGACCGCCTGGCCCAACTCCTCCTACTCCAGGAATAACAGGCGGCGGCATCATTCCCCCGCCAGCGCCACCCATGATACTCCCGCCAGCGCCGAGCCCCAGCCCGACTCCGAGGCCCCCTGCAGCGTTCATATTGCCCGGGTTCATAGCATTCATACCGCCGAGGTTGATAACCCCCGTCACACCCCCCATCGCACCACCGCCCGAAGGCCCCACCGACCCCATCCTCGGTGAGTCGGTCATCTTTCTCTTCGTACCGCCTGCTCCTCCGCCAGACGGAGGCGGCGAACTATGCGGGTAGGGATGTTGCATCCCCATCCCCATCCCCTGCTGATTCTGA